GGCCCGAAATGTCAGCCTTCCTGCTCCTATGATGCTGCTTGGCCTGCTGTGTTCATCCAGCTCTACACCTTGTTATCTCAGATTCTCCAGCATCTGCAGTTCCTACTATCTCTGATACTCTTTTCCTACTCGCATTGGCTATAATGCGATTCCATCCCCATCACCTTAAACGTCACAGCTATTGCACGACTTTCTTAACATGAGATCACACAAGAACAGAACCATTGCGTTATATCAGAACAGACTGTATCAGTCTTCACAGTGAGACAATTTAAATATAGGTGCAGAGATGCCTTGCTTCAATTGTGCAAGGCTTTGGTGAGACCACACCTGGAGTATCACGTATAGCTTTAGTTTCTTTATCTGAAGATGTTCTGGCTATAGAGAGAGTGCCACAAAGGTTTACCAGACAGATTCCTAGGATGGCAGGACTGACGCAAGAATAAAGACTGGATCAGTTAGGGCAATATGCATGAGTTTAGTTTGAGAGAATCTCATGAAGTTTACAAAAGTTTCTAATGGGACAAGACTACATAGATGCAGGAAGACTGTTCTCAATTACCGTGAAACCCAGAACCAGGGGTTTAGTCCAAGGATAAGTTAGGCCCTTTAGGGCTGAGATGAGGAGGAATTCTTCCTCTGGCGAGTTGAGAGCCTGTAAAATTCTCTCACAGAAAGCAGGGGAGACTAAAACATTGTAAAAGATTCAAGGACAGGTTAAGAAATAATTCTAAAGGAGGTCATAGGGTAGGGGGTATGGGGTGAAAGTATGAACAGGGTACAGAGTTGGATGATAAATGTCTCTAAAGGGTGGAAACGATTAAATCTAATACAGGGGGGAATTAAATTTTAATTTGTGCATTCGCAAGTCAGTTATAATTAACCAAGTTATGTAGACGTCACAAGCCAGGTATTAGAAGCTGATTGATCAGTTGAAACTAAACTAGTGGAGAATTCAGAGGACATAAATAAGATCAGAATAAAAAAAAGGTAAAGTAAGGATTCCAACAATGGTACAAAAACAAAGTGCTGGAAAAACTCAGGTCTGGTAGCGTTTGTGGCCAGAAAGCAAAGCTAATATTTTGGGTCCAGTGATGCTTCTTCAGAAGAGATCTGATTTTGTTCAATTTCCAGCATCAGCAGTTTCAGTTTTTTTGTTTGGAATGCCAACAATGGTAATTTGGTGCAACTGGAAATTTGTTAAAGGGCAAAAGGAGTTAACAAAGTAAGTAGACAGATACATCTAAGACATAGAAACTTGAAAGCGGGACAAATTTTAAAATGGTATTTCAGGAAAGGACAGAAAGATGGGTCTACTATCTGTTAGTGATTCAGGATTACCAATACACTGCTTGAACTGAAAAATCACAGACATTAAAGTGGAAAAAAAATCTGACATCAAGGAGGGAGATTGGAAAGAATGAGAGAATCATTATACTGTTGAGATAGGGAGAAGACAGAAGGATGCAAGATGAATGACAGATATGAAGAAGTTGGAACAATACAGCGTTCAAACCAAATTTTTGAAATCTACTTAAAATTCTTGCTTTTTGCACCACCAGACAAAAGATAACTGGGGAATGGAGGAAGATCGGTAACAAATTAAAGATACATAGTGGTGAAACTGTTGAATAGTTAGTCTGATTTATGATGCAGTTTGAGATCAACAGTACTGAATGCTTGCTTGTTTCTTCACTGCTAGTATTAGAGATTTATCGTATGTACTGGAAAGAAATTTTGGAAAAAGCGGAGACAGTGTCAGAAAAAAAAACAAAACAACCTTTCATGCTCCTTTGAGACACTCCTTTGCTCGTTCAATTTTTTTTAATCTTTACTATACTTGCTGCTCAAAATATAGTCTCCTCCATATTCAGGAGGCATATGCAGACTAAGTGACTTTGTGCAATTCCTCCAATTAATCTGTCATTTTTGTTCTACAACTTATGTTGATATATTCACCATTGTGCTTTACTGGAATAGTAAAAGCCAATGCAAGCTCTTGAATGGGCACTTTACAGTCTTTCAGACTCAATTCAATAATTTCATACCATTATCTGTACTCTTTGGAGGAAAGAAAGTGGTCAAAACAATTAGCCAGCCACATACTTGCAATTTCATTGTAGTGTGCAGCTGCTTTGTGTTAGTTCATGTGCTCTTCATACATGTATGGCTGTGCAAAACAGTTAAAAAAATTCAAATTGTACACATTCAGTGCAACTTTGGGTTGCTGAGTAGTTTGAAGGAGACATTAGTAGCGATTATGAAATTACAAGTAGCCAGCATGGATTTGAAACTAAAAAATAGAAAATCATGCTCGACAAACCTGGAGACATGGCTAGTGGGGAAATTGTAGTAGATAACAGATGCGAGGTTTAAAGAAATGTAGGCAATGAGAAAAGATTTAAAAAAATGGTGTGTGATTAGAAGAACAGCAAATTGGATTAAAAAGAAAACTAGTTAAAGCCAGAAACTCACCTTTGGACTTAAAGGTAGTTTCTGCTCCTCCTTCCCCCTACCCCCAGAATGGTTCAAAACAGAGGGATTAATTCAAGGTAAACATCTGTACATTGAGATTTTCAGGTTATGTTTGAAGAGGACAGACTTCATTAGACTATCAACAAGAAACGGAGAAGATAAGAAATGGATTAAAAAGTGGGAAATGAAAACCAATGAAAGTGATTAGTGATGAATTTTAGTGAAAAAGATTGCATTCTAATTGGAAGTACAGTCAATGCTGTGGAACAGATTTGTGGGTAAACCATCTTAAATTGCACTTCCCACATTTCAGATCTAAAATTAAATAAAAGGCATATAGGACCAATGTTTTTCCTATGTGACTGGAATGATTTGCTGAAGAAAAAGGTCACCAGGAGTTGAGTGAATTGGCCTGTTTCCATGTTGTACTTGCTATGGATTTCTAATTTTCGAAAGTGGGAAATTCGAGACTCGATGGGCTGTACATAACTAATTTAGATTTATTGGTTTACATAACTGCAATGAGGTTTGCTTAATAATTTAACCAGAATATACAGTCAACTCTATTAACATTTGCAGCAAAACATCAGTAAAGCAAGCCATTCATAAACAGCAGTACTGACCACTAATTTCTATCGGATTTATTTGATGCCAAACATAGCTATAACAGTTACAAGTGAAGCACACAAACACATGACCACCCCGTTCAGGAGTCTGCATAGCCGTTTATATCTTTACACCACATTCACTATGAAAATAAAGAAGCCAAATCATTTCACAATCAAATTTCCTAAAATCAGATCATCTGTTGCAGTGCATTTTTGATCACAGCTGCCATGTCTATCCATGATTTTGAACTATTTCAATATGAAAATAACAAACTGAACCTAACAAACAGTAAGCTGTCCAGTAGTGATTTACAAAAGCAGAAACTGTACTAACACATACAAAGTTAATTCCAAAACAGAAGGATACTTCAAATGGAATTACAAGGCTTTTATCTAATGGAATGGGTTATTAAAAAATTAAATTCATGTTTGGCTATTTTTCTAGTCCAGAATGCAAGAACACGTTCTTCCCTTCTACTTAAACCACTATCATAATAAGAAATCAAAGAAAATTCTTGATCAAGCATTCAGCTCAATTTCAGAGTTAGAAATAAATCGCCATGACAGACAAATAATTTAAAGGTGGTACTATGGAAATATTTAACTTTAATACCCAAGAGCGAATTTTATTATTCTCCCACTACCATAATCATGAAAGAACACTCCCTGGCAAGAGCAAACTCTAGTCTTCTTGGTACTTCTCTAGAACTTTAGAAATGTACATCATTTTCATTGACTGGATTCTTTGGATTGGATGCAAAGCAAATGGTTTATTCCATTTTAATTCGCTGGCTCGTCATTCTATAGATAATGCTATCATAACCAGGATCCATGTTCCACAGGTTGTAGGCAACGATGATCACAGCTAAAGCCAGGCCTATCATCAACCAGAGGACAATATTGAACACAACAGCATAGTTATAGTTGTATTGGTAGGCCAAACCATATGTACGACTGGGGTCATTCTATAAAAGAAAACAACAAAAAGGAGTCACTAGAATGTTGTTACTTCATTATATATTTTTGAAAAAATATTACACTGCAAGAAGGATCAGTTAAATATTTTAATTTTAATCATCTGTTTAAGCAAACATTTAGTTATTCAAAAGAAAACTATTCAGATGCTATAAACCTGAAAAAAAAAACAAAGAATACTGCAAATTCTCAGGTCTGGTAGCATCTGTGGAAAGAGCCAGCCTCAAAAAAAAATTTAGTATTTCTTTCAAAGATGTATGAATACCATGTGAAAAAGGTATGTAGGAAGGCTTTAGACATTTGCACTGTGGGACTAATATGTACTATAAACTTACTGTGGATGGAACCTCTAGGATAGATCGAGTCTTCCTCACAAGGGGGGCATCAAAATTCTTTACAGTCAACAATTCGATCACAGCATTTCCACTGTAAATGGAGAATACCTCATCTGCAAACTAGCAGAAAAAGAAAGATAGTTAAGTAAATGTATATTTCCCAACAGATACCAATCTCTACAAATTTAAATTTAAAACAATGAGATCATGCAAATTATGTGCAAGTTACAAAAGGATGAAAGTTTATAGCCAGTGAAATTTAAATTTTTCTAGAACAGATTTTAAACAGACAAAGTCAAGAAACACTCAGTGACCAAATTTCCTTTAAACTTAATTTTTCATTCTACATACTGATAATTTAATAGTCTTAAAATGCTAATTACCTGGAACACTATCATTCCGCTTGAATATATTGGCTTTAACACAAAAAAAAGTCTTAAATACGCCCCTCAAATTGTAGAACAGAAATTTCAAAACTAAATTGAGGTGGTAATCACCACAAAATTGATAAAGGAAATGGATTTTGAAGAGCATTTCAAATAGGGAGGGAGGTACTTTACACGTGGAACCTCGGCAAGGTTAAATGGTTGGTTGGCACTGGGGGAGTCAAAAAGACACAGAATACATGAAAGGACAGAGTTGAAGGAATTAACAGTTTGGGAGTGTTACATGTCAAGGCAAGGTTAGAGAAAGGAATGGACAACCGTTCTGGGATTTATCTACAAGGAGAATTTTACACGAAGGTTTGTGGGACCAGGAGCCAAATATAGGTTAATGACCAGAGTGGATTAGCATGACATGGGCTTGAGAGGATACTAACTGCAGAATTTTGGATGAAGCTGAAGTGGTTGATGGAAACTGGAAATCAACCAGTAGAACACTGAAATAGGCAATTTGAGAAGTGGACTAAGGTAGGGGTTGAAGTTTGAGAAGATTTGTAGCTCAGGTTGTGGATGAGGTTTTAGATTTGCTTGCCGAGCTGGTGTTTGATTGCAGATGTTTTGTCGCAGATGTTTCGTCACCCTGCTAGCTAACATTGTCAGTGTGCCTCGGTGAGACGTTGGGTGTTCTGTCCCACTTATTACTTGTATACCTTGGTTTGCTAGGGTAGTTGGTATTACTTCCAGTTTTATTTTTCAGTGGTTTGTTTTTCAGGGGTCTAGTTCAAAGTGCTTGTTGATGGAGTTCCAGTAATATTGCCAGGCCTCTGGGAATTCCCTGGCACGTCTCCATTTGGCTCGTGCTATTATGGATGCATTGTCCCAGTTGAATTTGTGTCCTTCTTTGTCAGTGTGTATTGAGAACAGTGAGAATTGGTAGTGTCTGTTGTAGGGTAAGGTAGGGTTGGAGGAGGGTGATGAATACCATTTTGCATGCAATCACTTGCAAAGGTTTCTTTGACAACACATTTAAACCAGTGATCTCTACTACCTGGAAGAACAAAGGCAGAAATTACATGGGGAATATGATCTGAAAGCTCTCCAAGTCATAAAACATCATGTGAAATCTATAAATTTTTTTCCCCATTGTGGAACAATTCTGGAACACTGTATGAAGTTCACAAAGATGGTTTACCACCACTTCAAGGGCAGTAGCGTCAGGTAATAAATGCTTATCTGCATACAGCCCACAAGCAAATATGAAAAATGCCAACTGAGACAGAAGTACCAATCTATGATCAAAGGACATGGATGGAATAGAACATGGCATTATGGTCAAGAACTGTTCCAACCCAAGATAATGGCCTTGAAAGTTAAACAGAATCAGCCGTTAAAAGGCATGTAGTTTATGTGCACAAAGATAACGATCTTACCAATAGTTAGCTGCCATAATATGCAACTCTTCCAGAACTGAATATCCAAGGCTGATAGGAGGTGGTAGAAAGTAGAACAGAGTATCAATTAAGTTTTACAAATGATGTGACCAAGGCACAGCATGCAGATAAGGAACAACAAAGAGCCAAGAATAGTTTCTTGGTGATGAAAGCATTGTTGGAGGCAGGAAGAGAAGCCAAGTTTGGTGACATTCTAGCTACAATCCAATAGCAAAAAAATGGAGAAACCAAACAAGAGCAGTCCTTTGAACTAGGTGGTGTTCAAGGAAACTGGTATAGTCAAAATGTACAGAGTTACAGGCAGGTTTAGGATCACTTGCCTCATTTTTTGCTTTTTTGTCAATGATTCAGAAGACTCATTTGCAAGTTATAACGGGTGACCAGACTATCAAAAATCCACACAAGGTATTATATTTTGACTTTCACAGTGGAAAAGGAAAATGAAACCTGTTAGGCATTTGACAAAGAAGAGTGAAACTATTTCAGAAGACTTCCACAAATGGTTACCGTGAATGCCATATTTGAAGTTGCTACAAACATCTTGCTGAATCAAGTCAACAACAAACCACTCCTCCAAGAAGAAAGTGTAGTTGTTGGACGACGACAGCAGTAAGGTTGCCCATGTCAGATCCCAATTGCAACTGATCTCAGATTTTAAAAATATATCAATTCATGGGATGTAGGCATCACTAGCTAGGCTAGCTTTTATTTCCAATCTTAAAAGACCCTTAATGGTGGTGGCGAGCCATTGTCTTGAACTGCTGCAGGGACAACCATGATGCTGCTAGGAAAGGAGTTCAAGCTCAGTGACAGTGGAAGAGTGACAATATAGTTCCAAATCAAGATGGTGTGAAACTTGCAGGGAAACTGTCAGGAGATTTTGTCCCCATGCATCTGCTGCCCTTAGGGAAGTCAGTTTTGGAAGACACTGGTAAAGGAACTTTGGTGAGTTACTGCAGCACATTTTGTAAATAGTGTGCACTACTGTCATTGGGCATCAGTGAAGTGAGTGAACACTGAAGCTGGTGATGGGTTGCCAACCAAGCAGGCTGTGTATTGCTGGGTAGTGCTGAGATTCTTCAGTATTGCTGGAGCCTAAATGTACATTACCTATTACATTCCAGACTTTTGCCTCGTATGATAGGGAGACAAGTGATGAATTACTCAGTGCAGATTGCAGTTAAAAGAGCAGCACCACACCCAAGAACAAATGGCTCCGAATAATGCCTTGATGTGTTTTTCTTGATGGAAGCAGGTGCTACGTACATTTTCATTTCATTTCTCGTGGTAGGCACAGTAGATGCAACATAAACGATACAAATCGCCATTTCTCATGCTATTCAAGTAGTATGAAAGTTGAACTGTGGCAGAACTTTTGATACAACAGCACCACTTTAGGAAGTTCAATATTGTCTTCCAATTTTTACCCCCTCTTGTCCAGAAAGCATTCAATGCATCCTGGAGATTGAATTCAATGGGTTGTAGTTATCCTCCAACAGGTCAGCTAAATGAGCATAATCCTGGGACTGTGCCAATCTGAATGAAAACAAAAAAGGGAAGGAGAAACTCAGGAGGTCTGGCATCATCTGTGGACAGAGAAACACAATCACATATTGCTCTCAAAGTTAAATCTCTTTCAAAGTTAGTATTAGATTTCAAAATGTTAACTGTTTCTCTCTCCACGAGCTGCTGAACTTGCTCAGTTTCTCCAGCATTGTTTTTATTTCAAATCTCCAGCACGTTTTGCTTTTGAGTGTCATCAGGATCTCTGACAAGGACAAGAATATCAGCAGAAATATGTACACTTCCCATAGGATTACTGCACAGCAGTCAGAAGTGGAAACATCTGCTCCTTCTCTAATCCAGGGTGACTGTAGACAGTCATTGTATTTCTGATGCAAGATGTGAGATTTTTATATATTGTAATATCATTTATCTCAGAGCTTGGATTCTGAGTTTGTGGCATGTGGCATGTGGGATGTGGGATGTGGGATTTGAGTAGGGGCTTAATGAAGGCATGATTTGATTCTTAAAAGTAAAAGAGGCTGGTACTGTTCTTAGAGGCTAATGGGAACTTGTTCCCATTGAGAGGTTTTACAAATGAACAAAGTAAACAGTGTAGAACATTATGTTTCAGTTAGAAGGATGCAGAATGCTGTTTTTTTTTTTTAAGGCTTAGGAGAAACATCCATAGCTTGAAGGAAGCTTTTTGGTTTCAATTTGCAGAGGTTTGGTTGAAGCTGAACAACTTCTCCTGAAGGGGGATAGTTTAGAACTGTTAAAGGAATGGATTACTTCAATGCAAGGAGTTTAGTTTGAAAGTTCACAATCAAAATGCTTGGTTAAAACTCTGAAGGGGTTGAGAATTTGCAAAGATTTAAGTTCAGTTGTATGAAGACAAGAAACTGGCTCAGCTTCTCAGAACCAGGAATTAAAGCTTCTGTCAAGTTAAACACAATAAATGATGATTGAGAAACGGAATTTTCTCAGGTGTGAATACTGAGGTGGTGTGCTATTGGTTTTAATGAGATTGTATTTTCAGGCATTTTTGAAGCCTGAAACTTGTGCTAATTGAAATCGTCATTAGTTGTAATGAATGTGTTTTATTGTCAATAATCAAATCTGCAGCATTGCATGCTGGTGTTCTGACGAATGGCCACATGACAAAACAACTTGTCAAACCAGATTTCAGTCTAGATCTGACTTCTCCAGTAATAACATCAACTAGAAGCATAAACATGGTCTTCTTGGTTTAAAGACAAACAGGCAGAACTTACCCTGTGAGGTGGAAGCAGTTTTTGTTGTATTCCAAGTGGGAGTCACAGAAAGAGACACTGGACATCATCCTGCCTCTTTCAGCTTTCGCTGATCCGGGCTCAGAATTCAGTAGTTGATTCCCAATGAGTCTGCCGAGAATATGAATTAGGTGATTGAAAAGGCAATTAACAGCCTTTTCAACCATAAATTCCTTCTTTGCCAACAATGCAAAGCTCCCATGCTGTGTCTGCAATTTGCTAGAGTCACCAAGGCAAGTGCACAGCAGGAAGACAGTTTCTTCAGTGAAACTGACAAGCAGAGACGGCTTTAATTAGTTACTTAGAACAGTACCAGCTATGGCAGAGAGATTTCTGTTTAAAGCACTTGAGTGCTTTTAGTACTTGATAAGTGATTGCTAACTTTTTGGAAGCACTTCACTCACCTTCAACTATATTTCATGGCTAGTTTTTAAATGTGGAATGGAAACAGCTCATGCAGTTCCACCTCTGCTGAGGGGCAAGAGCCAGAAGTAATACTGTACCAATAGTTCAAAACAGCAACAACTGCAGTACCTTTTTAACTTGTCAAATGGATGTCCAAAAACAAATAGAACTCTGAGATCCAGTTGGAAAAAAAAGGAACATCCCAACACAATCTACAGATAAAGGATAAGCTTTCTTGACACATCTAAACAGCAGTGCCTCAGACTCCCATGACATCTGCAGCCGCCTGAAATAAGACCTCCTTTATAGTGAAGCAGGTGTCGTGCATCATTACTAGCTAAGGTACTGTCTTTGCCAGGTTCCCCATTCCAATGGGTGTCTGCACTTTGCCAAGTGTGCAAGGAGAAAAAAAGCAATGCTATGCCAATGTCCATTAGTATGCAGAAGTGGAGGGTCATTGTGAGATATGGGAGCAAAACAGGAACATGCTGAGTCTGAGTAATTGCTGACAGATGAGGATGTGAAGTGGCTGCAGAAAGAATAATGAGGTAGCTTCAAGGTGCATTGATCTGAAGAGCACTGTACAGGTGTATGCCTGGTAATCCAGACTGTAGAGTTTGCCATACCGGTCATGTTCTTGTGCTCCCTTGAACCTAGAGACACTTGTCTTGCTTCTACTTCTGCCTGGTTGGAGAAGCGATCCTCTTCCTCTCAGCTTTGGACAACAAACACTCCAAAATGTCACCTCAGACCCCTCAGCAGAAATGCTAGCTTAGAGAGAGACTGGAGTAGGATCTTCCCAGCCTCCTCTCCATTCTTGTGGTTTCTGCAGCCTCAAAATTCAAGTGCAGGTGAGCCCTTATAACTCATACCACAGTTCCTTTCATTAGAAATTCTTCCTTTGACAGAATGATACAATCTACCTGCATTCACTAACTGGTGGTGAGGTGGGATGCTAATGACATTGCATTGGAAGACTTGAATGGCTTGGTAAAGCCATTAAGAAATTGGGCCACTAAACCAAAAAATTGGTCTAACTGTTCTAGAGACCAGGTCTATCACATTCTGTTCATTTATAGGCGAAGTAACTTCAAGCCCAGCTTCAATATTAGTGTGTTGAAGACAAAGACTTCTATTTAGCATCAGACCTGAGCAGATGAATATCAATGCAGCAAGAGGCAAATTTTACTATTCATTTCAGGCTACAAATGCCAGTATCGAAGGGAGTTGTGAATGCATCAGTTAAGAAAATCTGTTTGAATTACATTTAAAACAATGTTTCCATCTTAGATTTTTGAGAAAAAAAAACGAACATATTGCAGAAACACAGAACAATGACAGTGCAGAAGGCGGCCGTTCTGCTCCGACTGTCTAAACGAGCATTTCACTGAATGCCATTCTCTTGCCTTCGCTCTAATGTTCACGCTTGCCCTTTACAAATTACAGTCCATCTCACTATTGAATGCAACACTGAGCTTGTCTCTATCACACTTTCAAACAGTACATTAAGACTATATCTAGATGTTGTGGGAAAAAACTTTAACATAATTTTACTTCTTTCATTAACTGCTTTAAACCATACCTTCTTGTTCACGATCCTATATACTGGAAATGAGGTCACGAATGTGGTAGGCCAGTACCAGGTGCAATAAGACTTCCTTCCCAATAAGATGAATGAACATAAAATATGAAGCGCTACAGGTTTTTGTACTGCAAGAACCAAACTATTACCATATTGTACATACATGTAAACTTGGAAAGTTTACACGAGGAGACTACTGCTTAATGCCTTCCATCAAGATAGCATACAATGTGAATCAATGCAGTTGAAAGATTTTTATGGAATACAAAGAACAACAGAAGCCAAAAAAAAAAAGTCAGTTTAAACCTAGTTAACTTGAGCAGCACTTTCAACTTGGGATTAATTCGTTAGGAAGTAACAAACATGTATGGCATTTATGCAAGCAGAAATAGCATATCTTCAAGTCATCTCAGCTTAAATATTTACTGAATTTGTAAGATGTTCCTTTGAAATAGCTTTAGAATTGCCAACATCTAATTGTTGTTTTGAAACAGTAATGCATTAAGTACAACTAACTAAATCCAAACTCAAAAAAACCTTGACACTTAGAACATTAGCATTTGTGGACTATAAAGGCTAGACATAAAATTTGTGTTCCTTTGATATTTTAGACTCAATTTAATATAATCCTTATCAATTATTTTTGTAAAATGATTGCAAGATGTATTAACAAATCAAAAATGATAATTTCTGATGGGATATCAGCTCTCAACAGGATGGAACAGCATCTAACAATACTAAACATGCGAAGTAGCTATTTTTAAATTATGATGATATCCAAAGATCTTAAATACTCTTTCAAAAAGATTTGTTACTAGCCAAGGCATTTAGTCACGTGTATCGAGCCACTACCTATCTGAATAAGGGATGAGTTAAAACTGAATCTTCTCACATGTGTTTTATGGGCATTCAAAGGTAGGTGTTCTACACCTTAAGGATGCTGAAAGACATCTGACCTATTTTTCAGGCACCCTTAATGGCCACTTGAGATACTCATTTACATATTGTTGCAGAGTTGGGTACAGTACTTGTGAATTGAGAGGCAGGAACTTAGAATGTGGTGTTTGTAAAATACTGGGAGGTGTTGGGGGAGGGGAATTGCATGGTCCCTTTAAAAGGGAATGTGCTTTTCCTGTGTTTAGAGATTTAAAATGTGTGAGCAGCAGCCTGAAAAGTTTGCAAGTATACAGACAGCACCCAAACTGAAACATTTGTATCAAAAAGGCCATACAATTAGCAGGCCAAGCAGCAGTTTTTTTTAAGCCAAGACTTTTGAATTTAGCCAGTCAATTTGAACCAGGTACTTGGATACCAAAAACCTGATGGTTTATACAACATAGGACCAAACAGGTTTTTTAAAAAAAGAAACCTGATATGTCAGAGGGTATAAAAGAAGGGGGCAATTGGACAAAACCCTGGAGAGCTAACAGCCATCCGCCAAAGCTAACGGCCCTCACCTCTCAGCCTCCTCTACGTCTTGGAGGAAGCACCATCTAACAACAGCATCCCTGACAGAAGAACTGACGGAGAAGGCACAGAACACTCTGGAAGGCATGTAATCTGGCTGTAATTGCAAGAGACTAAATATTTTTTCTCCTCCTCCTCCCCCACCCCCCAATTTTATTTTTATAAGTGGGACTTGTATTTCTTGGAACAGCATACCATTAGAACCTGGCTTTGTTTAGGAATAGTTAGTAGTTACAAGGGATTTATTTGGTTTGTTAATAGTTTAGTTAATTTGTTCACTTAGAGTTAACTAAATTGTTAATTGTTGATTTTAAACGTGAGTATCAGGGGTTTATTTTATTTAACCACTAGAAGTTGCTTAAAAAAAAGCAGGTTACACCATTTTTCATGCTCCTTTTACAGATTTTAGGGCAAGGTGCTCCTCTTTAGGTGTTTTGGTTTTAGTTCTCAGGGGCAGGGGTGAATCAACCTCCGCTTCATGACAATATATAAAAACCCAATCAGTTTTATACACTTTGCTGAAACAGGATCGAGATTTCAGAATTTAGTGTTCATGGTCATGACAGGTAAATAATATTCAAGATAATTAAAATGCCATGCTCACAAACAGGTGAAATGAATTCCAAGTTCATTCCTTCCTGGTGCATTCCCCCTCAGTTGTTAAAGAAAAAAATGCCTATCACCCTTTTCTGAAGAAAAACATTAGGAGAATAAATCTTGAAATTTCATTTTATAATTGGCGTGAGCAAATTAATCGAAATCTATTCAATCACATCTTTGTTTACCTAATCTGCAGGTAAAGACCTAAACATCAAAAAGCATGTGTTGTGTAGAACTCCTACAGCAGATTGAATCAGGATCCAAAATATATTGACATAAATCCAAAATGACATCAAATGAAACACAAGATTTGTTTTGTCCAAAGCAAAGATGCTGAATACAATCTGTAAGATACTGCACTTGACATCGTATTAACCTCGGGTACACTGTTGGTACAGTGTTAAAACCTTTTCTTCCGAAAATATTCTATCCATACATATAGGTTGGGGAGCAATAGAAGCTAAAAGGCATTTCTATAGAGGCAAAAAGATGGAATTAAAAAACCCTTCAAAAATATTCTTAACCTCTAGCTTGGTAATAACTGAAAATTCAATTTGTTAGCAAGATGATATCTGTGGAGTAGCACAGTAAAGTAAAAATCCAAATAATGTTATTTGACCTTCTGGATGACTGAAGCAAGGATTTGGGCAGCATCACGGAACTGTTGGGAGTCCTGCCCATAACGCTTTATAATCTCTTCCAGTCCTGCCAGTTCCAGTGAATATAGGGCAGGTGAACGGTCCTTTGCCAAACGTTTGTGCCTGTATAGCTGTGGGAATATTTTACATCCAAGGTTACTTTTTTTAAAAATTGTTGAGTGAAGTCACAATAACTTTGTGTTGTAGCCAAATAGCATTGAGGACCGTCAGAGTATGTTGGCAATTCACACATGCTTTTCTTGAACAGGAGTTCAATACCAATGTATAAAAGAAAATTCACATTTGAACATCACCATGAAGAGAGATTTCTTGATCTGAAACACTGGTGAGACATACACACTCCGAACCCTCCCAACATTAAATCTGCAACCTGCTATTCGATAACCAGCAAGGTGCCAAGTTCCCAATGTTATTGATTGAAAAGGGTTTTGTGTTTACTATTCAGAGTTTGGCCACTGTTCCCTGCCTTTCTACCATTTTGGAAAGGAACATACTTCTGGGGGACTTACTCCAATACCATTTCTACAGTATAATTGGAGTTCCATGACCATGTCAGATAGATAATATTGCCAAGATCACCCCTAAAATTACAAACTTTATACATTAATGAATTGAAATCAATTCCTTCCCTTCCTGACCATCTTTCTAGGCGATATTATTAATTGTTTGGCCAGAACGTTCCCCTGTAAGAGAGAGTAATAGTCTTTTTAAAAAAAAAAAACTTAATACCTGTTCAGCTAACAAATACTACATCTACCTCCCTGAAGTTACCTCTAAGATCGTTGACCATGTTTCAACACTCAGTCCAAATGCTTCCAAGATTGTTACACTGCTATAAAGTGCCTTACTGAAGGCCCAAACCAAAAGAAACATTTCAACTCTGGCAATGATGCACAACAACTTCTCTGCAGCCCTAAAACACAATTAACCACACCATCCTCATCCATTCTCCAGCTCTATAAAATTACTTGATTGCTTTCTTAGTGGTGATCTCCACCAATGCTTTCTTCTTCTAATCTGATGTCAACTGCAGTTCCACTGGGGTCAATAGTTAGTCTCTGCTCAATCATCCGCAATTATACATATATTGGTCTCCCTCTAATCAAGTCCACAACTCATCTTTCTCTAGTTCTTCCCCTCATGACTTCAGATATTAACACTCATCAGGTATTGTTCCCCACCTCTTTCAAATTTGTTGCTATTAGCCTTCTATTGAAAAGTCCCTCAGTTCTTGCAAACTAATGCCCTACCTCCACCTTCCCTTTCTACTAAAAAGAGTTTCAACACACAGTCACCTTCATAACTATGCCAGCCTTTCCTGGGCCTTCATCCTAGGGAAGACAGGTTGTGGTGTTGACATCATGGAACTAACAAATTCGAGGCCAATAGCTCAAATCTCATGGAATTTAAATTCCATCAGTTGCCACAATGAATCAGGAAAAAAAAAAGCTGAAATTCCACCATTGAGGGACAGCATAGAAACAGGCCCTTCGGTCCCACTCATCCAGGCTGACTAGACATCCCAATTTAACCTAGCCCCATTTGCCAGCATTTGGCCCAAATCTCTCTAAACCTTTCCAAATGCCTTTTGAATATTACAATTGTACCAGCCTCCACGACTTTCTCTGGCAGCTCATTCCATACATACACCACCCTCTGCGTGAAAAAGTTGCCCCTCCGGTCCTTTGTAAATCTTGTCCCTCTCACCTTAAGCCCAAGCCCTCCAGTTTTGGACTTCCCCAGCGTAGAGAAAAGACCTTGGCTGTTCACCCAATCCATGCCCCTCACGTGTTTATAAAACCTCTATAAAAAGGTCACCCCTCTGTCTCTGACGCTTCAGGGAAAAAAGCCCCAGCCTATTCAGCCTCTCCTTGTAGCTCAAACCCTGGCAACATCTTCAAATCTTTTTTAAACCCTCTCAAGTTTAAACAATATCCTTCCTATAGAAGGACAACCAGAATTGTGCGCAGTATTCTAAAAGTGGCCCCACCATGTCCGGTCAGGCCACAACAACAATGCACTGACCAATAAAGGCAAATGCACCAAATGCCTTCTTCACTATCCTGTCTACTTGCGACTGCACTTTCAAGAAACTATGCACCTGCACCCCTGGGTCTCTGTTCAGCAATACTCCCCAGGACCCTACCAAGAAATGTACAAGTCCAGCCCTGATTCACCTTACCAAAATGTAATACCTCAAAATCTATCTAAATTAAACTCTATTTGGCACTCCTTGGCCCATCTGATAAAGGTCCCCTTGTACGCTGAGAAAGCGTTCTTCACTGTCCACTACACCACCTATTTTGGTGTTATCCACAAGTTTACTAACCATGCCTCCTATATTCAGATCCACATCATTTATATAAATGACAAAAAGCAGCAGACCCAGCACTGATCCTGTGGCACACCACTGGTCACAGTCCTCCAGTCCTAAAATCAACCCTGTACCAACATCCTGTCTCCTTCCTTCACACCAATTTTGTACCCAATTGGCTAGCTGCCCAGATTCCATGTGATCTAACCTTATCAGCCAGTCTGCCATGCGGAACCTTGTCAAATGGATTCACTAAAATGAGCTTAACAGATGAAATGGTATAATTGATAAGTAAATAATTTACTTTATCCTAAAATTCAAGATCTTTCACCCCCTCATTTTACGCTAAAATTCAAGCTCTTTGCAGTCAGGGTCTCTGATCAAGTCATTAGCAGAACCCAAGCATTTCCTTGAATGAAAATTTGACTTTTAATATGCAAAAAGTATATTTTCAGAATCAACTGGAAAGACTGCATCTGTGGCACTCAGATGCTCTAATATCCAATTTACTGGTAATTTAAGAATTTGCTGGCAAATATCTTGCAGCATCAAAAAAAAAAAATCAAAAGACCATATTGGGCTGGTCAAAAAACAAAGAACAATAGTGGGGCTGTGATGACTAAAAACCATAACTACGAGAGTAAGGTGAAAGATATTGTGCACAGAAGCCAGAATTGGATCTTACGAAAGGGGGTACAAAAGAATATCTTCAGTCACTTGCCATCATATTTCATGTGGCTCAGAACCAAATTTTGTTTAATAGCGCTCCTCTGGATAGCTTTGGGTCATTTTACAATGTTGATGTGATGTAAACTAAAGTTGCTACAGTGGACAACCAAAAGTGAGCACAGTGTGGATGATGTCAGATTTTTGAATGAATTAAGGTTTATGGAAGGACATTGAGATTAATTAGACTGGGTTCATAGATTAAAAAAAGTAAGGTGATTGACTGGGTATGGAGTTTGAAACTTGAATGTACATTGATACCAGGTGGTATCAGTGAAGAGAGTGTACATACATATATGGCAGAGGCTGAAAACCAATCTAGTCTTCCTGGTGTGTTCAGTTGGAGCACATTTTAACTTATTCCACAACTTTGTATCAGTCAACCTATCTAGAAGCAGAGGATTGGGTTGAGCATTGCTGTCTTGTCATTAAGAGTCAGATGCAAAGAAGAGAAAAACAAAAACCCAAGGATGGATTATCACAATGGCGATCATGCAGGGACAGGAAGAGACGTCACTGCTGGAGATACGCTAGCTGTAAATACAAAGTCGTTAGAACAAAACTGAAAATACCATGTAAAAGCTTAACACTGCAGGAAACAAGGCTAACTTCACAACCAGATGGTTATGCTCAAAGAGCTTCCTGTTATTTACAATCAGGAAAATTACTGCAAATTAGAAAGTATTGTGCTCAGCCAATAGCACTAAACACAGCATTCAAAGTCACACTTGTTGGTCACCTGTATATGGGCTTAATTTAATAAATGCAATTTTTTAAAAACTGTTGTTGCTAATGGCAATCTGCATTAAAAAGTGACACTTTTGCTTCAATGAACTTATCTCTAACTTACCAATGCAGAAATATCATGAAGAACTTGCAATTCTGAAAGGAACAGAAGGTCAACCTAATGAACAAAACAAGGCTGTTTGAAATCCTTTAGGAGAAATAGATTTAAGTGAATATTACATATTATACTATAGGGAACTGTTTAAAAATTCCCTATACCTGCAATAAAACATGGGTCTACATTAATTGCATATTGAGAACTTGCATGTTAAAGTTCTATCAGCTTAGGTTATATCCATAGGAGTTTCAATGCCTTATTAACACATGCCATTTGAGGCAATTTAATCATTTAGATCACTTCTGGATACAAGCTTCAAGAATTCTTTTCAGATATCTTTGAAAGAAAATTTTGAATTATTGATACACAATGACAAGTCAAAATATTTGTTGCACCAAACCCTTAAGACGCAAATGGACTGGATTGGAATATATTAAAAATCTTTTCCTCCAAAGCACTACCTAGTGAGAATTCTTTGGTTATATAACGCATCATAATTAACATATTAAAAAGTAAATGGTGGCACTGCAGCTCAGTGGTTAGCACTGCTGCCTTACAGTGCCAGGGACCCAGGTTCAATTCCACCCTCTGGAGACTGTTTAGAGTTTGCACATTCTTCCCATATCTGTGTAGGTTTTTTCTGGGTGCTCCGGTTTCCTCCCACAGTCCAAGGATGTCCAGGTTAGGTAGATTGGTCATGGGAAAGGTAGGGTTACAGGGATAGTGTAGGGAGTGGGTCTGCATGGGATGCTCTTCGGTGGGTCAGTGTGGACTCAATGGGGAGAATGGCCTGCTTCCACACAGTTGGGATTCTATGGTACGGAGTAGAGACAAATAATCTAAATAAAAATCAGTGCAACAATTAGGGGAGGGGATGGCCTAGGTGGTATTAAATTGCTGGACAATTAGTCCAGAAACACCGTTAATGTTCTGGGGACCCAGGTTCGAATCCCACCACAGATGGTGGAATTTGAATCCAATGAAAAAAAACAAACCATGGAATTAAGAGCCTACCATGAAACCATTGTCAGTTTCAGACCCACAGCAGAGCAATGTGGCTGACTCTAAATTGCCCTGAAATAGCAATTGATACAATGGAATGGCTTGCTAGGCTATAAAGTCTCAAAGAAATGAAACCAGATGGATCACCTGGCTTTGAGCTAGGTGCTAAGAAAAAAAAAGACAACAGAAGTAGCCTTGCTGACTCTGCAAAGTCTTCCTCACTAACATCTGGGGCTACTGCCAAAAAACTGGAGGAGCTGTCCCACAGACTAATCAAGCAACAGCCTGATGTAGTGACTCATGGTATCATACCCCTCAGACAACATCCCAGACACCACCATTACCATCCCTGGACAGACCCAGAGGGGTGGCAAATGTGTTTCACACAGTCAGGAGGGAATTGCCCTAGGAGTTGTCAATATTGACTCCAGACCTACAAAGTCTCCTGGCTTCAGGAGAAACATGGGCAAGGAAACCTATCAATTACCACATACTGTCCTCCCTCAGCTGCATATCAAGCAGCACTGGGAGGAAGCACTCAGGATGGCAAATACAGTGTAGTCTGGGTGGGGGGGATTGTTGTCTTTAGGTGAATTGGAAGGAGTGCAAAAACATTTAAAATTACCTTGAAAGAATTCAGTCGAATGATAGGCACCTAATTATTTGTCGATAAGCCTTTTCAACAACTTTGATTCATAAATTTAGGCATACAAGATGATTCAGGTCTTAACGTGTACTGAAACTATTAGTAGTTTGTATTGTCTAACCTCTTCAGTAGGTTAGTATGTGGTGTATAAAAGTGGCATAGTGAAGTCCATGACAAGCCCCTATCAAGTGTTTTCCACATGAATAATTTTTGGTTGGTTGCATTTCTGACATTTGAGCCTACAAGTCAAGCTATGAAGAAATCCACAAACCATTTCTTTTTTTTTTTATTTTTTGAAAAAAATGGTACGCTCAGTCAAGCAATCTCCATATTTATGGCATACTTCAAATTTCCAAGTCCAAAGAGCTTAGGAGGAAGCTGAAACACCAAACTTTACGGACCAAATCTCCAGCTAAAATAGCATATCTGACAATTGCTGTACAGGTGTGATAAGGAGGGGAAAAGGAAAAATGAATAAGCTTTTCCCGATTTATCCAGCTAGAACTGCCCTATAGTTTGGTTATCGTTTTGTAGGTTTGACACAAGGCAAAGTACCTGCAATGAAATCCCCTACTTCCTCTTACCTCATTATTTTTATTCAGACTGTTATGAGGAAGCAAGCCCAGAACAGAGTCCTCCTGAAACAAGCGGTTTCGCATCTGTCGTAATGTCACAGGAAGATCTTCAAAAATGGTATTTGCCTTTCCCACCATGTACAGTCTCTAAAAAATTCCACAAATTAACCTTGTTATTATTTAGTTTCTCAGAAATTAAATGTTGAGCTCCTAAAATTCAGTTACTGATTTGTCAATTTTGCTCTTATCCAAACACTAATCACCTCCCAACCACGTGTGTCCCCTGCACTGGACAGAAGTCATCCTTGTTTCCTAATCCTGATCAGTCAAAATCTCTTTCAAGTGTGCAGTGAACACTAAGAAGTCAGTGTGACTGACAGAATTTGAAAAACTGAATTCAATGAATTTATACAAATCCAAGTACTGGAGAACAGTCAATGCCCGTAGAACCATAATCCAGCAATCATCTTTAGCACGGCAGAAAAAAAAATTGCAAAAGTAAAATAAAAATGCAGCTGGAGCAGATGCCATATTGGAATTTCTATCTTAGCATATTCATTGCACCAAGTAGAACATGCAAATACTTCCAAGTGAATCCTGGGCCTTCTGCAAATTCTGAGCAAATTCTAATGACTTTTCACATTGTCAACTCACCTCCTCACTAGGAGTTAACTGCAGAATGACCGGTGTTTCTTCAGAGAACAGCGAGTGGATAGAATTTGAGATACTATCCAAGGTGAAAGGGACTGGCTACAAACGAAAAGAAAAAGTAGCCGTCATTCAGTTCTGATTAAGCTCCGATATATTCCCGTAGAAGGTCAAAACGAATAAAAGTTCAGAAACAATTTGAATACAAGGATTTGTCATCTGTCCCCACCACACAGTACAAAAAGTTGCTGCAAATTAATCAGTTGCATACAACAGCTAAAATAGTGACAAACCATGGCTTTTATATGAATTACTGACCAAGAGAATTATTCAATTTGTTGATCTGACAAACATACCTGGTATCAGCTAAACATTGAGCAATTTCTTGTTGCAGCATGCAAAAGCCTAAATTTGAATGAAAGTGGAGGGAAAACTGGAGTTAACAGCTAAACCAATCGTAACTATCACAAATTACCCCTTTATGTTCAGAGGACATTTCAAAAGGGCCATTCACAGTTTATACAACAATGAGAATTCGAAACAAGTGTTGCTGTGGGTTCTTATCAAAGCAAATCGGTTACATAAATCCTGAGGTTGCATACTACTAAAGTTACATTTCCCCTTCAGTTCTTAGAAAAATGGAGCACATGTTCAACTTGGTTGCTTTCACCAGATTCTAGTGTCACCTTGGGACACAATGAAAGATGCAACTGTAGCCCCGTATGGACAGAGGGAGTTAAGGAGTGACAGTTGATTATTTGAGCTGACATAATTCTAATACTAGTTGTGACTTGCATTCTTGCTGTCATTGACAGCAGTCCTAATGTTGGTTAGCAATGCTGTAAAATAAACAAAACTGCAAGCACAAACCATCAATTGTTCTTTGGCTGACCCAAGCCAGAAAAGGAGAATTAGACTGCTGTGCTGCCACCATTCTAGATTTTCAATGAGGTTCTAGTGATTTAACTTACGTTTACATTACTTCCATGAAATAATTTATAGTCCAAATTTACAACAACATATGCAGGAGTCAATAATTTAGATGAAATGTAATATTCCTGCCAATTTATATATTAGAGGATTACGTCCAATGTAGCAGATAGGCTCAACAATCTTCAGCTGCTTCATGAATGACCTTCCCTCGATCATAAGGTCACATGGGGATTTTTGCCGATGATTGAGCAACGTTCAGCACCATTTGCAGCTCCTCAGATTTGAAGCAGTCCATGCTCAAATGCAAGATCTGGACAATATCCAGACTTGCGATGGCAACTGGCAACCAACATTCACCCCCACACTAATACCAGGGAATGATCATCTAACCACTACTCCTTGATATACAATTGCTTCACCATTACAGTCTTCAATAATTCACATCCTGGGGTTACCATTGACCAAAAACTCAAATGTGCTCGTCACATTACCACAGTAACAAGAACAGCAGGCCAGTGACTGTGAATACTGCAGAAAGTAACTCATCTTCTGATTTTCCAAAGCCTGTCTACCATCTACAAGGCACAAATCAGGAGTGTGATGCAATATGCCCCACTTGCCTGGATGGGTGCAGCTCCAACAACACAAAGTTTGACGCCACCCAGAATAAAGCATCCTGCTTGACTGGCACCATACTCACAAACAAACATCCACACCTTCCACCACTGACAATCGGGAGTAGCAGCATGTACTAGCCACAAGTTGCGCTGGAAAAATTCACTGAAGATCCTGAGACAAACCTTCCAAACCCACAATCACTTCCATCTAGAAGGACAAGGCAGCTCCCTCTCCAAGGGCTTCGTGGGTATACTTACATCACATGGACTACAACAGTTCAAAGCAGAAGCTCACCACCACCTTAAAGGACAACGAGAGACAGGCTCTAATTAACAAGAATGCTGACATGCTAGTGATACCCAGAAGCCACGAGCGAATAAAAAACACAACTCCAACAGCAAGCATTTATATAGTACTTCTGAAATTTTCTGACACTCTCCAAATATGCTCTTGAAATAGGCGCACGGAAGCAGAGCTAAGCCATAGGCAGAAAGTTCAAGAGAAGTGACCAAAAGGTTGGATTAAGATTGTGCTTTGAAAAGTTGAGATTAGAAACAAAAAAGACTTAAATGGAGGTAATTAGGGATAAAATTCCAAGGAATGGCATTAAGATACATACAAGAAGGCAGTCGGAATTGATGGATGCACGTAGGGATAGTAGAGAAATTTAATCCTATTGGAGAGAAGGCAAGGCTGGGAATACGTCTTAAGATGAGGAGCTCAATTTAGAAAAATATACTGGCATGCATTTGCAGCTGACAAACTCCAGTTTTTACTTTGAGCACAAATTAGGACATTCCAACAGAAATATGCTTGCAACTATGCTACCTACATTTTAGGTACGAGCTAAAATGAAATGTAATCACAAACATAACTCACTGTGAACCAACATGACCAGGCAAAGAACATGACTATTTCTTTTAAAAAAATTCTAGATGCATTCAAGAGCAATAAACTGGTAGTTTTATGAATACAACTAGAACAATGCTTTTCAAAAACGTTACTTTTAAAAGAAGGGTGCCCATCCTCCATTCATGAATCACTTGATTTAAAATCCTTCTTGCTATGCCTCACTGGGCTGGATGCTGGAAATCAAGACTGACTCTTCCAGAGTCAGAGTCATCGCAAAAGTTTAAAATGCAAAATTCCCCAACTTACTTGTCTTTAAGATCAGTTTAACAAACTATGGACCATGTACTTAACAATAACCTAGATTTATTATAAATGGACTCTAGCGTACAGATCACTAATTATAAACCATTGACATAATTGCTAGTTAGAAACCAACTCCCCCCACTACACACAGATACAGAAAAGAAAAGCGGAGGAAAGGCTGAGAAGATCAATGGTCTTTGTTTAACAGGGTTGAACAAGATATGGTCCTTTTGGCTCGTTAGGACGTGCCGCTCCTTGGCTCTCCTTCATTTTACTAGTCTTCAGGAGGCATGGGGTGACTGGTTAATATTTATAAAGAGTCTGAGTGCTCAATTAAAAATCAGAGCTTATGACAACTGAGAAGGAAAAATAAACTGGCTACCTTCAGGCTTTTTACTGTGGACCAAAACAGTTTCTTATTCTATTTAGATTTGATGGGTTTTGCCAAAATGTTCACACCCTTGGGCTGTTCAGTTACCTGGGAGCCACTCTTATTGGCAGGCAGAAGGCCTTTGTCAAAAACTGGTCACTAGTCTACAGACTAGTCAGCTATTTGCTGCCAGCCAAAACACCACCTTTGGCTGCAGCTTATCTGAAAACTAGGTGTGCTCGTTGCCATAGAAAGGCTGCCAAAACCCCTCCCACTCTGGTAATGCTTTCCTACAACCTCTGTCGCTAGGTAGAGGATGTAGAAGCTTGAACACAGACACCAACAGGTTTAAGAACAGATTTTTCCCTGCAATCATTAGACTGATGAATGGACTTCAAATAATTTTGATCTTGCTAATGTTCATCTTGCCTTGCGCACCTCCTGTGCAGTGTAATCTGTATGCCTTACTCTAAGTGCCCTTTGATCTCTATGTCCTTGTTTGCTGTGATCCGCCTGTACTGCTTGCAAAACAATGCTTTTCACTGTACTTAAGTATATGTGACTACAATAAATCAAATCACTACTGCTTGAAGATACAACTATGTAAACCATACTCGCAACGAGTGTTAGGTTACTTGTTAATAACAAGTACAGCAATCCTTTGGCTTTAAAGCCACTCTTCCCATTCCAGCCCACAATCAAAAATATAGAAAAGATACTCTTTGCATTCTAAAATACACAATCATTTAATAGATATAAATTCACCACATTTCATTTAAGAATACTTGTGGGTTAGCAAACCTAGAACACCTTCCTGAACCAGTGAATTCCAATTGTCACATGTGCACTTACAGAAGGTCCTAATGAATCAGATCAACAGCACAAAAAAAAGACTCTAACCCGCAAAATCTGTGCCTATGAAAAACAACCGCCTAACTTTCTAGTCTCAGTTTCCAGCACTTGGCCCATAGCTTTATGCGCCTTGGCATAAGTGCACATCTAAATACTTATTCAACATTATGAGGTTTTCTGCCTACCACTCTTACAGGCAGCAAGATCGGATTCCCACCACCTTCTGCGTGAAAGACTTTCTTCATCTCCCCTAAACTTTCTGCTCTTTACTTTAAAATCTACGCTCCCTGATCACTGATTCCTCCACCAAGGGGAAAAGTTTCTTCCTACTTACCCTGTCTATGCACCTCAATTTCATATAGCTCAATTGTGTCTGTATAATAAACAAACTAGTGCCTTTCAAACCGTGGGTAATGTCTGCTTGAGTTGCATGATGGGATCCTGGGGTTGAGAGCTCCAAGGCAGCCATGGATGGAGTGCAGCAAAGTCTCCTTTCAAGCAGCTATGAAGCCCCTTTAAATTCTTATTTTTTTTGTTTGTGACCTCTGTCTAATGGACTACTCTAATGTTTTTTGCAGCAGCAATCTGGTAAAGTGTCTAGTAAAAGGTAGGTGCTTCCTTTTGAGTGACCATGCCTTTCATCAACACACCACCTTCCCAAAATGACCACGACACCACAGCCCCATTTCTTTGCCAGTAAGGATTAACACCAGGATTAAGGCCATTAACACCAGCTACCCCCTCCCCCCCATCTCAATTCTTGTATCAAAATTTTGACTCCCCTGATCACAATGTCTGAGGCATTAGAATGGGGTCACACTGGGAAAAGGTTTGGAAAGCACAGAAATAGACCAGAATGATAGCACCTCACCAGTTCCTTTTTACTCTCCTGTTCTACCCCTCAAAATAGCTTGGATGTGGTTAAAGTTCAGTTGCTATATTAACGATTATTTTAACTTCAGGCAGAGTAGCAGATCTTCAGGAAGCTTCTTTCCAACTGTATATTGCACACAAGTAACCACGAAATGTGTGTAAAGCTTTGCTTCAGCTACTATTTCAAAGCTTCATTATTAGTTCTAGGAAGGCCAACTTATTTTCAGAATTGTAAATCTGAATTAATATATTTCAAACATCAAACTGGACTCAAAGCTAAATTGCACAAATTAAAAATTCC